GATGGTCTTGATCTCCTGACCTCGTGATCCACCCGCCTTGGCCTCCCAAAGTACTGAGGTTACAGGCATGAGCCAGGCAGCCCAAATAGTTATTTCTTTATCAAATAAGCCAACTCTATAGTTATTTCCCTGTCAGATAAGCTAAATCTAATTATTTTAGTGTCAGGAACATGGACTTACTTAAGTGAAATTTATTTACGACCTAGGGAAGGATATTTGAGAAATTACAATTTCATATTCCCAAATTTCAGTGTGGCTATACAAACCAAAGTCCCAGAAGCAATCACAACAAAACCTAAAGCATATGTGTTGTTGATAAGCAAAACTATCGTTAAGTCCTAACCCCACACACTCCTTTACTCCCCAGCTAAAATTTGCACCCAAAATTTTGTAAGAACTTGTCCCAAAACCAACTAGGCTCCCACTGACTGCTTTACTCACTTCTTTACGTTTCGTTTCCGGACATTCCGACTGCAGAGTGAGGGTTGCACCTTCGATATTTCTTGGCATGGGTGTGGAACCAGGGTTTATTGTCAAATGAATCTGATCTGGTGAGATAATATGTTGCACATAACCCTGGGACATTGCTTCATGATCTATCAGGTGAAAGCCCTCTTCACCCCCTACTAGAAAAGGCAAGTGTTCTCCGCACTGTCCATCATCATCGTCATCCTCCAAAGTGCCAGGGTCCTGCTCAATAAGAACAGTGGTCCTATCATAAACAGTTCCAGATGAGGAAGGCACCAGTCCATTTCTATCCACAAACCTGAGCATTTTATCATCGGGGATCAGCTCATCTTCCTCTGCCTTAAAGTAGATGATGTTGTCTGGACTGTGTTCCCCCATGGTTCAGTTGTGCTCAGCCCAATTGTGAGAAATGAAAAGATAATGACTTGTCTGCAATAGAACAAAGCCAGAGTTAGAATCATATCACAAGACCCATGGACCTCCTCAGCAAGCACAGGGCTCATTTTCCCTCTCATTTAAACAGCAAGCCAAAGCAAATGAAAAACCATCCTTGGGAATAATTTTTTAATTATCTTAATTTTGAAACCATGAAGTTATTTTTAAAGAAAAGCAATGCTGGCTGGGCGTGGTGGCTCATGCCTGTAATCCCAGCACTTTGGGAGGCTGAGGCAGGAGGATCGCTTGAGGCCAGTAGTTTTGAGATCAGCATGGTCAAAACAACATAGTGAGACTCCACCTCTATAAAAAGAAAGAAAAAGAAAGAGAGAGAGAGAGGGAGAAAGGAAGGAAGGAAAGAAAAGCAATGCTTTTCAAAAATTGAATAAGTTCATAAGACCTTCTGAATGTGCCTGTCAAACAGTTTGAAACTTGGTCAAAATACTTAAAGGGGACATAAGAGCAAACAGAACAGTGGCTGCTTAAAGGCTGAATTGCTACAAATCTTAAAGGAAACCCCACTCAAATATCCTCCAAATTAGACCGCGAGGCAGTAAACGGTCTCATGTAGTTTATGGTGGAAGGAAAAAGGCTTTGGAGGCAGAGTCATCTACCTACAGATCCTGGCTGTGCCCTTTACTACATGGGTAACTCTTCTGTACATCACTTTTCTCATGTGCAAGATGGGACTAGTAATTCCTGTTCTCTCAAAGTTTTTACAAGAAATAAAAGAGGCAACACATGCAAAGCACAATGTTTGATAAATCGTAGAGGAACAAGTGTGAATTCCTTCCCTGCTACCTACAACAGATGTTTCAACCTTCTGGGTGGAGGGGCTAATCCCCAATCAGGCACAAACAGTGAAGATCACTGTTATCTATTTATGTCTTAAAACAAATATGGTATCAGAAGTTATAGTTGTATAATGGGCTCTCATCCCTGAATGAATTGAGTCTTACTTATTATTTTTGTTTCCACAGCCCCTAGCATAACACACTGATACTAGAAGTGCAGGAAATGCCAGCTAAATGAATAAAAGACATGACAACATACACTCTCGTGAAGACAGTATCTTGGGAAGATATATTCTCTTGAGAAAAATACCACATTTGAAGCTTTCATGTTCTGGAATAGCGATCCTTCATCTACAAACACAGGCTCTACAAATGTGGGTTTGGCAGGCAGAACAGAGAATTTTTAAATAATCAGCATATCCCTTTTAGTTTTCAGTCTGGCTTTGCACTGTATCTTTCTCTTTTGCTCTGGGTTAGAAAGTGAGCCTTTACTTAGTGAAGTGGCTAGACAGTTACCAAAGACAGGCCAAAGGATCCGATCCGGGAGGTACCGGCCCGACCCCTAGCTCTGGCTTACGCAACCCCATAGATGTACATTTCGCTGCATCTGAGAAAAGAGAGAAGAGCACCGAGGGCCCCAGTGGGCTGCCCTGGCACCCTCAGCGGCAACGCAGAGACCAACTGTCCGGAACAAACAAGACCGGGAGGTTTGAGGGTGGCCAAGAGGAGTGCGAACAGAGCCCCCTTGAGAGGAGGCTGGGAAAATGAACCTGTCTGGGACAGCCCCCAGCACGGGCCCACACAGAAAAATCCGAAGACAAGCTGGGGGTCTCCAAGCACAGAGAAGAGGGGCAGGGTCCGGGTCTCCATGGAAACAGGGAAGGGGGGCTGGATACCCATCCCCATGGAAACAGAGAAGGGGTGGGGTCCCTATGGTGACCGAACTGAGGTCTCTATTGGGAAATGCTTCAGGAGGGAGCCTAAGTCCCGCGCCCCCGGTAAGTCCCAAGCCCAGGCCGAGTCTAGTTTCGCCTTTTACCTCCGCGGCTCCCGGCAACGGCGGCGGCAGCAGCTTCTCCCCTCCCCAGCGGCACCATGATTGCCCCCACCTTCCTCAACGTCACTTCCGCTTCCGCTTTCCGGAGGAAGGAGGGGACAGCGCTCCGCCCCTCCCTGGCGCCTCTGGTTGGCTCAGGTTGTCAGGGGCCGAGCTGAAGCCTCCAATTGACGAGAGGGAGGGGCGGGGCGGGGCACCGTGGGGAAGGCGCTCAGTGGGTGAGTTCGTCCGCGCGGGGAAGCGCCCGGAGTAGCTACTGGCTGTCCGCAGGGTGTCGCCGTCACGGCACTGGACGCAAGGAGAAGGAAACGAACCCCAAAGCAAGAGTCCGAAATATCGTCGAGTTTGCGCTGGCCGCCCTCGCCCAGGCAGCCACAGCAGCAGCGGGAAGGACCACAGGTGGCCGTCAGAACTCTGGCCCCAACTCGCCTGGGGAGCCTGGACGGCCGTGAAGTTCCCGGGTTTCTCCCTCTGGGGCTCCGGCCCCCCCTTCAGCACCCATCCAAGTTAACACAGGCAGGAGGCCCCAGAAAGGAAGATAAGATTCCAAAGGCAGAACTAAGAGTATTCCAAGCCCAGCTGGAGAGGACGCCGCCGCCTCTTCCTTATACCACGCGCTTCCCTAGACGCCCTTCTCACACTCTCGCCCCGGCAAGCGGTCCCAACTTTCTTCCCCAGCAGAGGACGCGGCTTCGACGCGACTCTTGTCCGGGCCAGTTAGCGCCACCTACCGGCCACTCCCTTCTTTAACCGTTCACATTGTCCTGCTGGTCCGTGTCTTAAACCCATTTTACAGTCCCCAGAAGTCGTTGTATTTGTACCCAATTTGTACACAATTCTGCGTGTGCCTTCGTTACGTCCCTGTCCTTTCCAAATGCCTGGAGGATCTAGCTGTTAGATCCTCCCAGCAGCCACTGCCTGTTTTTCCCTTAAGCTGCTTCTCGAATATTCAGAGTGGGACAACTCCAAAAGACTAGACCAGGGGTCAAGGGGTTCAGGCCAGTGCTATAACCATTTTTTGCTGACTGCCAGCAATATGTCTCTTTGGCCCCAAGGCTTGAGCCACAAAGTCCCGCTGCAGCGAACTGCCATCTCTTAAGAGAGAAAAACATACACAACCACCGCTGTTAAATATACATTTATCATTAAAATATATTACATGAGAGAGGGGATGCATCATATACAGTTTGGAAGACTTGCTGGTCCAGAAAATCCCGCTTGTTTCATCGGACACTCACTTCTTCAGTAATTTTACATTTTATTTTTAGAGACGGAGTCTCCCTCTGTCACCTAGGCTGGAGTACAGTGATGTGATCGTAGCTCACTGCAGCCTCAAACTCCTGTGCTCAAGTGATCCACCCACATCAGCCTCCCAAGTAACTGGGACCACAGGTATGCATCACCACGCCCAGCTAATTTTTTAAAAAATTTTTGTAGAGATGAGGTCTCCTTGTGTTGCCCAGGCTGGTCCCTAACCCCTGGTCTCTAGCAGTCCTCCCACCTCAATCTCCCAAAGTGCTGAGATTACAGGCTTGAGCCACTGCGCCTGGTTATTTTAATTTTTTAAACACCTGTATTGCCCTCAGAGGCTGAGCAGCCAGTCTCAAAGCTATTGAGCCATTATCTGAGCAGGAATGGGGGTAGAGTTTGCCTGTGCATATACACACATCCTCAGACCCAGCACTGAAAGCATCTGGGGTGGCTGTAGCCTATTTTATCCAGCAGTTTCTGCCTGCATTCTTGTTTACCAACTCATAGTCCTTTCAGGACTCCAAAGTTCCTTCAAATATCTGATCATGAGGATATCACCCTAGGCTACAGGGAAGGCACCAACTATGCCCCGGAGGTAGGGTGAGTGAGTACAAGTAGTTATTTTAAAACATTTTAAATTAAAAACAAAAAAAAAGCCTGACATGGTGGCTCACGCATGTAATCCCAGAACTTTGGGAGGCTGAGGCCGGTGAATCACCTGAGGCCAGGTGTTCGAGACCAGCCTGGCCAACTTGGTGAAACCTCATCTCTACTAAAAATACAAAAATTAGCCGGGCGTGGTGGCAGGTGCCTGTAATCCCAGCTACTCAGGTGACTGATGCAGGAGAATCGCTTGAACTAAGGTGGGGAGGTTGCAGTGAGCTGAGATTGCACTATTGCACTCCAGCCTGGGTAACAAGAGTGAAACTCCGTCTCAAAAAAAAAAAAAAAAAAAAAAAAAAAAAAAACACAGCACTCAATCTTTGTTAAATAACTAAAGTTGAAAATTGAATGTCAGTTTTATTATGGTGGATTTTCTCCTATGTCTTCATGACTTACAGCACTGAGTGGGCTAACCAATGGTGGGCTTAGTCGGGGCACTAGGCTCAGGAAACAGCTGCCATTCTTGCTACCAAGTAGCCTCACATAATTATCTTAAGACAGCTCTTGAGCTGAAACAGGTGGGGCTGGTAGTTCGCTGCCTCAAGTAAAATAGAAGAGAGAGGCTCAGAGTGGATTGCAGAGGAACTGGTGAATAAATTCTTGAGCCTTCTTCTTCTCCATCATATCAAGCTTTTGGTGACCAGCTGGGTTTCGAAGCAATAAGCTACCAAATATGCTAGCTGCAAGAAAAAAAACAGAAAATAAATGATTCAGCAAAAGAAGGTACTAAAGACACACATCACTTACAGCAGGGGTATGTTCTGAGAAATGTCATTAGGTGATCGTCATTGTGCCAACATCATAAGAGTGTACTTACACTTTACACAAACTTTACTTGCACTTGTACTTACACAATTCTAGATGGTATAGCCTATTGCTCCTAGGCTCCTGTACAGCAAGTTACTATACTGAATACTACAGGCAACCGTAACAACTGGTAAGTATTTGTGCATCCAAATATATCTAAACATAGGAAAGGTACATCAAAAATACAATATTATGGGCCAGGTGCAGTGGCTCACACCTGTAATCTCAGCACTTTGGGAAGCCGAAGCAGACAGATCGCTAGAGGCCAGGAGTTTGAGACCAGATAGGCCAACATGGTGAAACCTCCATCACTACTAAAAATACAAAAATTAGCCTGTCCCCACCAGTGAGCTTTCCAAGGGGAATGGTGCCCTGTCGGAGGTGGCCGAGGTTACAGGGTGGTGGGGGAGGCATCCCTGCTTGGTGTCCTGCCACTCTGGTTCCTGCCTCCTCCCCTCCCACTCCCACACTGCCTCACCTCCTTCCCATCCTCGCTGAGGGCTCATCTCCAGACTTGGACAGGGTTTTGTGAGCATGGTAAGGATAGCTAAGGCCCAGGGGTGGCTGCGTGGGCCTGAGTGGCCATCTGGCTTCCAGGACTCTCCCACCCAGAAGTGGGGAAGGTGGGCATTGGTCACCGACCTTAAAAAAAAAAAAAAAAAAAAAAAAAAAAGGCTGGGCATGATGGCTTACGCCTGTAATCCCAGTACTTTGGGAGGCCAAAGTGGGCGGATCACAGGGTCAAGAGTTCAAGACCAGCCTGGTTAATATGGTGAAACCCCGTCTCTACTAAAAATACAAAAATTAGCTGGGCATGGTGGCACACGCCTGTAATCCCAGCTACTCGGGAGGCTGAGACAGAAGAATCGCTTGAACCCCAGAGGCAGAGGTTGCAGTGAGCTGAGATCATGCCACTGCACTCCAGCCTGGGCGACAGAGCGAGACTCTGTCTCCAAAAAAGAAAAAAATAGCCAGACATGGTGGCAAGAACCTATAATCCCAGCTACCTGGGAGGCTGAGGCACACGAATCACTTGAACCCAGGAGGCGGAGACTGCAGTGAGCTGAGTTCACACCACTACACTCCAGCCTGGGTGACAGAGCAAGACTGTTTCAAACACACACACACACACACACACACACACACACACACACACACAGTATTATAATCATATAGACCCTCCATCGTATATATGGTCCGTTTTTGACCAAGATGTTATACGGTACAGGATTATACTTTTTTTGTGAGACAAAGTCTCACTGTGTCACCCAGGCTGGAATGCAGTGGTGCAGTCTCGGCTCAGTGCAGCCTCCATTGCATCACTTGGGTTCAAGTGATTCTCCTGATTCAGCCTCCCTAGTAGCTAGGATTACAGGCGCCCACCACCACACCCAGCTCATTTCTGTATTTTTCACCATGTTATATAGGCTGGTCTCAAACTCCTGACCTCAGGTGATCTGCCGGCCTTGGCCTCCCAAAGTGCTAAGATTACAGATGTGAGGCATCATGCCCGGTCCATGACTATACTTATTCTTGTGTTTTTAGGAGTGGGGAGAAATGTCCAAATGCAATACTTTCTGCTTTAAAAAAATCTGCCCAGGCCAAGTGCGATGGCTCACACCTATAATCCCAACACTCTGGGAGGCCAAGGCGGGTGGATCACCTGAAGCTGGGAATTCGAGACCAGCCTGACCAACATGGAGAAACTCTAATGTCTCCACTAAAGAATATGAAATTAGCTGGGTGTGGTGGCACATGCCTGCTATCCCAGTTACTTGGGAGGCTGAGGCAGAAGAATTGTGTGAACCCGGGTGGTGGAGGTTGGGGTGAGCCGAGATCACACCACTGCACTCCAGCCTGGGCGACCAGAGCAAAACTCCATCTCAAAAAAAAAAAAAAAAAAAAAAAAAATCTTGGCCCAGAGCTTAATATTTTAGTTCTACTGCAAGGGACTTGGGACCCTCCTCAACCACATTTCTCATTACAAGTCTCTCAGTTTGCAGAAATGCTTTCCATAGACTTTTGCCTGCTTACCTAGAATATTCTCATCCAAATGATTTTTTGCTGAATTTTTCAGCAGTTCTTGCAAAAACGCCATCAAGTATTTGAAGACATTGTTGTGGAATGTGGGGAGAGTAGAAATGACCTGAAAGAGGGAGAACTGAATCATTTGTCAAGTGCCTACTACAGTCCAAGAACTGAATACACCATCCAAGTGCACAGAAAACTGGTTGCTTACCACTGGGCGTAAGTACCAAAAGAGAGGTACAGGTCAAATGTGACACGAATTTAGAAGTCAACCTTTTAACTGCATGTTCTTATAAGACTTAAGGAAATAAGACATTTTAGTTGGGTCTTGAATATAAGACAAAACTGGATTTACAGAGGTAAGAACTGGGGTTATTTAGAGCAAAGAACGTGTAAAAAGCAAGAGGAGAAAAATAGACAAGTAGAGAGAACACTTTATGAGAAGTCAATTTTGGCAGGAGCATAACTAGAAGGGTTGATCAGGCTCTGATCAATGAGTACTCCAGCTATCTGCATATCAGAATCAGTTTGGAAGCTTGAACAAAATAGATTCCAAAAGTGATTATAAGCTGGGCTCAGTGATTCAAGCCTGTAATCCCAGCACTTTGGGAGGCCAAGGCGGGTGGATCACCTGAGGTCAGGAGTTTGAGACCAGCTTGGCCAACATGGTGAAACCCCACCTCTACTAAAAATACAAAAAATAGCCAGGCATGGTGGTGCACACCTGTAATCCCTGCTACTTGGGAGGCTGAGACAGGAGAATCACTTGAATCCGGGAGGCGAAGGTTGCAGTGAGCTGAGATCCCGCCAATGCACTCCAGCCTGGGTGACACAGCGAGACTCCATCTCAAACAAACAAACAAAAAAAGTGATTATGATTCAGTGGATTTAGGGTGAGGCTTTAGAATCTGTATTATTGGCAAGTTTTCTAGATTCTGCCAAGGCCTGTTGTATGTGTGAACCACCAAGCTAGATCATAGAAAGTCTTCAGTATTTAAGAAAATTAGTAATTGGCAATGGAGAGCCAAGTATGGTTTTCTGACCAACAGTCACATGACAATAACGTAATTTAGAATACACAATCTGATGGCAGTGTGCAGAACAAATCAGCAGAAGGAGATTGTGAATGCAGTGCACTGAACCAAGCTAAGTACAATGAGGATATAAGAGAGACGACAGGTCATAGATCAATGAGACTGGGCCCGTGGGAGGCATGGAGAGGGTGGAGTCAGAAATGACTCAGGTCTCGGGTTGACTCACTGGAATTAAGGGTGATGCCATTAAAAGAAACAAAGACATGACAGAAAGAACAGGTTTGAGTTTGAGAAGGAAAGATAAAGTGTTCAGTTTCTGAGACACTAAACTTGAGTGACTGTGTCCACTCTGTTCCCTTAGGCCCCATGGGATCTGGGGCTAACCACACGTGTATGCTGATGCTCAGTGCTTCCCCTTACCTGCTTGCTTGCTGTGTAGTTGCCAGAACACTCCAAGCAGTTATGGTAGGCGCTGTAACAGATGACAGGCTCTGGAAGGCTCTCCAGGAAAAGCAGCAGGGCTTCGGCTACAGAATGATTGCTGGCAGCTTTTGACCTATCGTTAAGGAATCGATGGTGCTGCTGCCCATGGTTAGGAAAAGGCCCAGGAGCAAGCACATGCCAGAAATGCTGCCTGCCCAGTCAGGCTCTGCTCAGAGCTAGAATGCCAGCCTAACTTCTCGAAGGGGCCACACTGTCTCTCAGGAGGCCAGGCCTCCTGAGTTCCTGCTATATTGGTTACTTAAAGTTGTAAATTCTTAGTCTGGGCAACATGGCAAAACCCTGCCTCTATGAAAAGTTCAAAAATTAGACAGGTATGGTGGTATTCACCTGTGGTCCCAGCTACTCAGGAGGCTGAGGTGGGAGGATCACTTGAGCCCAGGAGGTAAAGGCTGCAGTGATCTGAGATCACACTACTGTACTCCAGCCTGGGTGACAGAAATGGACCCTGTCTCAAAAGAAAAAAAAAAAGTTGTAAAGTCTTCTCTATGCAAACTTTAAATAAAACATGGTAACTGAGGATACAATATCAGATTCGGAGCCTGAAAATACTTTCCTTTTTCTCACCCCTCTCATTCATATTCTCTCTCTCTCTCTCTCTCTCTCGCTCTCGCTCTCTCTCTCTCTCTCTCACACACACACACACACACACACACAGAGAGAGAGAGAGAGCTGAATGTCTGAAGGATACAGAGGTTATCAATCATTCCAGTATCCAAGTAGTCCCTGATATGTTCAAATTCTGACCTCAGGCCTGGTTGCTGAAACAGATCTTCCTGCAAAAGGGAAGACAGTCACAAAACAATTGTTTTCTCAGAAAATCACCAATGATTTCCTGACCTAGTAATATCACTAGCAGAATGCAAAAAGGAGCAGTGTGGTAAGGCCCTGGCAGATTATCTGATTTAAGCTGATGTGGCTAATTCATCCTGCGGGCCTTCCCAGGCATGTTTCTACAGTAGGTCTTCAGGCATCTACTATAAAACTATGGGTAGGGCATACCACATGCAAGAAGATCCAACACTGGAGAAAACATAAAAGCAGCTATGTTTCCTGCAGTGGTATAGAGGGATTACCCGAGGGAAAAAAAATGAAGAAAATATAACATGCATAAGAGCATAAGAGAAAGCTAACAAGGTACTTCAATGCTTTGAGCAAATAAGTTTATGGCAGCAAAGCTATTTCCATTAGTATCAGGACACTTTATGTTCATTGGTTTTATAAAATGACTTAATACCATATAACTGTATTAATAGTAACACTGTTATATATATTGCTCAAAAATTACATTTGAAAGGAGCTCTCGGCCGGGCGCCGTGGCTCACGCCTGTAATCCCAGCACTTTGGGAGGCCGAGGCGGGTGGATCACGAGGTCAAGAGATTGAGACCAGCCTGGTCAACATGGTGAAACTCTGTCTCTACTAAAAATACAAAAATTCAGCTGGGCATGGTGGCGTGTGCCTGTAATCTCAGCTACTCAGGAGGCTGAGGCAGGAGAATTGCCTGAACCCAGGAGGCGGAGATTGCGGTGAGCCGAGATCGCGCCATTGCACTCCAGCCTGGGTAACAAGAGCAAAACTCCGACTCAAAAAAAAAGAAAAATAAAAAAAATAAAAAAAAAAAAAAAGAAAGGAGCTCTGCAGAGAAGGTAGAATAGTATAGCACTGAAGAATATGACTTCTCTACTCAGATTAACTATATTCAAATCCCACCTCTGCCCATTTATCAGCTTTGGGACCTTAACCAAGTTATTCACCCTTCCAGGCATCTGTTTTTCCTCATCTGAGAACTACTGTGAAAACTAGAGGCAATGCTGTAAAACACTTAGAATAGTGCTTGGTATACTGCAATTCTCAACAAATGTGAGGGGAAAAAAAGTGAAAATGGAATATCATAAGAATGTATATTAGAAATAGAAAAAAAAAAAAAGAATGTATATTAAGGCCAGGCATGGTGGCTCACGCATGTAATCCCAACACTTTGGGTGTCTGAGGCGGGTAGATCACCTGAAGTCACAGGAGTTCGAGACCAGCCTGATCAGCATGGTAAAACCTTGTCTCAAAATGCAAAATTAGCCAGGCGTGGTGGCGAGTGCCTGTAATCCCAGCTACTTGGGAGGCTGAGGCAGGAGAATTGCTTGAACCCGGGAGGCAGAGGTTGCAGTGAGCCGAGATCACGCCATTGCACTCCAGCCTGGGCAACAGAGTAAGACCCTGTCTCAAAAAAAAAAAAAAAAAAGGAATGTATACTAAAAAAGAAAAGTATGTTGCTCTGAAGTGGTAAAGTGATCTTATAGTTTGTATAGGTCTCCCTGAAACCTATATAAACAGATCAGTGAAACTGACCAATCTGACTAGTGAAGCCTGCCCTGTCACTCTAGAAATCAGGCCTCCAAATTTGAGGCCCAGAGGTTGCATCTGGTCCCTTGCCTCTCCTTGGTTTATCAACCAGTTAGCCCCACTCATTCCCAGGAGCTGGTGAGAGTTCCTGAAGGAGAGCCAAAACATTCTGAGAGGCCTCCAGGCAGTTTTCTGGCTGAGGGACCTCAGAGGCTATGGGAAGGAACAAGCTGTGCAGTGCTGGGACGGCCTTCCTATGCAACACTGCTTCCCTTGGGGGTGATCATGTACTGCATGTAATAGCAGGGTCTCTGGCTGGGGACCATGGCTCACACCTGTCATCCCAGCACTTTGGGAGGCTGAGGCAGGTCGATCATCTGAGGTCAGCAGTTCAGGACCAGCCTGGCCAACATGGTGAAACTCCTTCTCTATAAAAATACAAAAATTAGCCAGGCATGATGGTGGGTGCCTGTAATCCCAGCTACTCAGGAGACTGAGGCGGGAGAACCACTCGAACCCAGGAGGTGGAGGTTGCAGTGAGCTGAGATTGCGCCATTGCACTCTAGCCTGAGCGACAGAACGTGACTCTGTCTCAAAAAAAAAAAAAAAAAAAAAAAAAAGCAGTCTCCCAGGATTGTGAAACATGACATACTCCCTATGCTCCTTCCCCTTCATGGGGGAAGAACAGTTCTCCACAGGTTCCTTATGCAAAAAGTTCTTGGAGCTGATGGTTTTTCTCAAGGCAGCCTGGCCTCAATCAGGTCTGAATGCCTAAACACAACCTACCTGCTGGACAGCATTTCGGTACAGGTAATCAACCATCATCCAGAGCTCTTTGGGGATTTCCAAGGGTCTCTCCAACTGGCTCCCATTACCTTCAGTCTGTATTGGCATCAGAGTCTGGAAAGCAATCAAGATCATGACAGAACTTCTGCCAGGCTGGCTCCAGGAAAATGCATGACATGGGGACGGCAAACCCATGGAAGAAGGAAAATATTTCAATGCCCCTAACCACACAGTCCTCAGACAGAAATGAAATCAGGTGGTACGATCAAGGAAGAAAAGGTAATTTTTGAGAATCAGGAGAGGGTAATGACAAGCAGTTTCAATGAATCAGGTGAAATATACACAGTATTTTTAGGAAAAAAAAAATCATTCCTATAGCATTTCACTATTAGAACTAGAGAGGTGTCATCTGGTGAGGAAACAGCACAGACCTGGGAGTCCAAAAATCTGAGTTCAAGGCCCAGGTCGCTTGTTTTTATTTTCTTTTTAATTAATTTTTTTTTAAATTTTGAGATGGGATCTCACTCTGTTGCCCAGGCTGGTCTTGAACTCCTGGACTCAAGTGACATACCCACCTCAGACTCCCAAAGTGCTGGGATTACAAATAGGAGCCACTGTACCCAGCCTTGAGGTCCACTGTTAACTCACCATATGACCTGTGACAAATCACTCTCCTTGATTGGGCCCCTGTTTTCATCTACATGATGCAGAAGAGGGAGTTCAAGACTCCCTACATTTAAAAATGCATTGGAAAAAAAAAAAGCATGCATATTACCATAGATCTGCTCCAAATTAGTTCCCTTGCATTAGAATTGTCTTCATAGGAAGCTTTTAGATCGCAGCAAATTTAGTTTAGGATGATAACCTACCAATGATGATTTTAAAAAAAACAAAAGAATAATATCATTGACTATGGAACTTTCATTATTTTAGAATCCATGGCTGAGTTTCTCTTTTTTTTAGAGACAGGGTCTTACACTATTGCTCAGGTACTGCAGTCTTGAACTCCCTGGCTCCCTCCCACCTCTGCCTCCCAAGTAGCTAGGACTAAAGGTGCACACCCCCATACCCAGCTGATTTCTTAATTTTTTGTAGAGATGGAGCCTCACTATGTTGCGCAGGCTGATCTCAAAGTCCTGGCCTAAAACAATTCTCCTGCCTTGGCCTCCCAAAGTGCTGGAATTACAGCTGTGAGTCATTTGTCCAACCCGTGGCTGAGTTTCTCTAATGTACTGCTACAGACTGAATGTTTATGTCCCCTTTAAATACATACGTTGAATCCTAATCCCTAGTGTGATGGTACTAGGAGGTGGGGCCTTTGGGAGATGGTTAGGTGATAAGGTATCTGCCCTCATGAATGGGATTAGTGCCCCTAAACAAGATACCTCAGAGACCTCCCTCATCTCTTCTGCCATGTAAGAACACAGTGAGAAGATGGCCCTCTATGAACCAGGAAGTAAGCCCTCACCTCACCAGACAGCAAATATGGCTGCGGCTTGATCTTGGACTTCCCAATTCTCAGAACTGTGAGAAATAAATTTCTGTTGCTGATAAATCACCCAGTCTATGGGATTCTGTTATAACAGCCCAGACAAAGAAACATATATAAGTGAAATACTGAAAAACATGGCCACAGCATTTTGCAGCTTTTCTTTCCTATCAAGAAGTGGAATTAGGCCAGGCGCAGTGGCTCATGCCTGTAATCCCAACACTTGGGGAGGCCAGGGTGGAAGGATCACCTGAGGTCAGGAGTTCCAGGCCAGCCTGGCCAACACTGCAAAACCCTATCTCTACAGAAAATACAAAAATTAGCTAGGTATGGTGGTGGGCACCTGTAATCCCACTTGCTCAGGAGGCTGAGGCAGGAGAATCATTTGAACCTGGGAGACAGAGGTTGCAGTAAGCCAAGATCACACCACCGCACTCCAGCCTGGGTAACAAAGTGAGACTCTGACGCCCCCCCAACAAAAAAAGGCCGGGTGTGGTGGCTCACACCTGTAAGCCCAGCACTTTGGGAGGCTGAGGCGGGCAGATCACTTGAGGTCAGGAGTTTCAGACTAGCCTAGACAACATAGTGAAACTCCATCTCTATGAAAAATACAAAAATCAGCCAGGCATGGTGGTGTGCATGCCTATAGTCCCAGCTACTGGGGAGGCAGAGGCAGAAGAATCACTTGGAGGTGGAGGTTGCAGTGAGCCAAGGTCGAGCCACTGGACTCCAGCCTGGGCAACAGAGAGAAACTCTGTCTCAAAAAAAAAAGAAAAAGAAGTAGAGCCTTTATTGCTTCACTTGCTCTACCAATAAAACATGGCAGAAGTGGCCTTGTGTGCATTTTGCAGCCTATGCTACAAAAGGCCTTACAGTTCTCTCATGTTCTTGCCACTAGTTACAGAAGCCTGAGCTAGCCTTCTGAATGATAAGCCCATGTGGTGAGTGAAATCCAGAGAAAAGCCAACACCAAGACATGTGAGAGAGGTCATCTGGAGCCCTCTGGCCATCACAGCTGCCATCTGATTATAACCACACGAATGCGGCTAGGTGAGACCAGCCGAAGACCCACACTGGAAATTCACAGAATCATGAGAAGCAATAACTTGGTGTTAAAAACTACTAAAATTTCAGATAGTTTGTAGTACAGCTTTATACAGCTGATACACTAAGCAAGCTCTAGAAGGCTGAAGAATTTCTAAGTCCCTAGGAAGGCAGGCATAGGAATATCCTGTTTGACTGGCTTGGCTGCTACAAAGTTCTAGGTATTTCCTTGTGGCATATTACTCACCAGCTTACTAATAGTTTCAAGTGGCAGGTCTAAGATTGGCTCTCTCATGTAACACAGTGTATGAATGGGAGACCCGAAACAGCTGGGCAGGTAGTTCCCAGACACAGGCAAAAAGTAATCCTTTCCCCTGTCCAAGTGCAAAACCAGAATGTCCTCAATTTTGTCTTCGCCAGAGTTGAGCTTTGTAGCTGTGGTCTTATTTACGAAGAGCTCCAATTCAATCTCAATGTCAGAATCTGCAGAAAAAATTTAAAAATAATGTTGGCTAGGGGGAGGCTAAGAGGAAAGGGGAAAAGAATATAGGAGGGAAGAGGGTAAGGCATAAAGGGTTAGGAAAAGGAAAGAAAAGGTATCAGCCAACCCACAAGCATCTAAATGTGCTTGGCATGCAGGAGAAACAAGAACAAAGAGTTTATAGTCCAACTGGGAATATGAAAACAACAGACAAAAACGCGAATAGACAAATGCTATAAAATTGAAGTACTAAGGAGCACAGCTCAAGCTAGAAATATTAAGAGAATAAGAAGGCATGGATCAAAGAGCCTTCCTTGAGCCAGGTAAGATGAAGAGACCTGATTCAGAAGAAATGTAACACAATTATCAACCTGTGAACTGTCCACAGAACACCCTTCATTGTTTTGTCACACAGTATCATGCAGAGTGCGAAGGAAAAGTTGGGGAAAGTCTGAATGGTACATTCCAGGGCCAGATATAATTTCTGGATTACTTCCCCATTATCAAGAGCAGATAATTGGGAGTTGATTATAGCGAGATCATAAAATGGTTCCTTTAACAGCAGCACCTGCTTTTTTTTTTTTTTTACTTGAGAAACTTTATTGAGGACAAAAGTAACAGCAGCACCTGCTCTACAGCAATCTTAGGTTTTCTCTTTCTGTGAAATTATAGAACATATAAATGACAGAATGCTTTTGAAACTGCACTCATGCTCCTATTTTATATTTTATTTATGAATGGGTTCCTCTATAGGGCTTTTTAAAAAGCCTCAAGCAGAGAATAAAACACTCAAGCAAAAAGCTTATTTTAGGAAAATGAGCAAATATAGAGTAAGGCATTCCCCAAACCAGATACCAGGAAGCTGGGACAGAGGCCTTACCTGGCAGGAGGAAGCCTCTGCTGGGGTTGGCATTTAGCCACTGCTTACAGTAAGACTCTTCATCAGGCTTGTTGATGAATTCAAAATGACAGGGTACTTGTCCATTATGAATTGTAAAGGATTCTACTTGCAATTGCATGTACTTGACATTCTGAAAACAGAACTGGGAAGAAGCCCGGGGCCAGTGAAAACCAGTGCCCTTTCCTTGGCAACCTGCCTAGCCACCCCAACTGGGCAATCCTTACCATGGAAAGAAAATGAAGGACCATCTCTTTTAAATGTTTCTGCTTTACGTATTTACCTGGGAGGCCACAGTTCCCACTAAAGACTAGTTATCTGTGTTTAACCCCAAATCCAAAAATTCCATTTTTTTTTGCGTTATATTTCCTGAAGAAATGAAAGTTTATATCGTCTATACCCAAAAACCATTTACAAAATACCCTTCACAAATTCCACTAGTAAACACAATGATTAAGCCCATCCTTCCAAGTAGCTGGACACCTAGGGTATTAAAAATGCCATCAACAGCTGGTGCAGTGGCTCAGGCCTATAATCCTGGCACTTTGGGAGGCCAAAGTGGGCAGATCATTTAAGCTCAGGAGTTCGAGACCAGCCTGGCCAATATGGCGAAACCCCATCTCTACTAAAAATACAAAAATTAGCCAGGCATGGTGGCACATGCCTGTAATCCCAGCTACTGGGAGGCCAACGTATGAGAGTTGCTTGAACCTAGGAGGAAGAAGTTGCAATGAGCTGAGATCATGCCATTGCATTCCAGCCTGAGTGACAGAGTGAGACTCTATCTAAAACAAACAAACAAAAAATGCCTTTACCTTAAACCCCCATTTGACTCTGCATAACTGTCATGTTTGAATGATCTTCCATTTGGCTCTTCCATGAAAAACCTTCAAACCTTATTCAACTTCATATATGACCTATTCCTTTTCTATACTGTCTTCCCTCCCATCAGCTCATGGGCATCCAAACTCAATTTAATCCCAAAGCAAAGCATCAGTAAGAAGAAAAATCTATTGCAAGAATACACAACAGTTATTCTAAAATAAAAACACATTTTGAATCATCTTCTGGTTTAGAAGAGCGGGACATGATGACCTAAGCCAATAACCTCTCTCTTCTCAGCTAACACCATCGGCCTCACTTTATCTAGAAGCAGTCTATCAAGAAAGACTACAGTCCAATATTGGTATAGGTGCCTCCTGGAACTCTGAGCTCCAATAGATGAGGGAGATTTAAGTTCTAGGAATAGAAGAGTCTGATGCTAATATTGTTTTTTTTTTTTTTTTTTTTTTTTTTTTGAGACAGCGTTCCACTCTTGTTGCCTAAGCTGGAGTGCAATGGCACAATCTTGGCTTACCGCAACCTCCACCTCCCAGGTTCACATGATTCTCCTGCCTCTCAAGTAGCTGGGATTACAGGCATGGGCCACCACCCTCAGCCAATTTTGTATTTTTAGTAGAGATGGGGTTTCTCCATGTTGGTCAGGCTGGTCTCGAACTCCTGACCTCAGGTGATCCGCCTGCCTAGGCCTCCCAAAGTGCTGGGATTACAGGTGTGAGGCACCGTGCCCAGCCTCAATGCTAATATTCTTTTTTTTTCTTTCTTTCTTTTTTTTTTTTCTTTAGTTCTGTCTCTCTAGAATGCTAATATTCTTAACATGTCCTTCCTACCTCTCGCTTGGACAGGGACACAGAAGGAATGTTGGCATTTTCCATCTTATCCAGGGAGCGAACAATTTCCTCCAGAGTCTTCCGGTAAAGCTCATCATTTATGACCCTCACCTGGAAGGGAAACATCAGAGACTGAGCGCCCTGGCTTCTGCCCATTTCCTCTTTCTCAGTATAGAAAGCATTCACAGTATTGGGAAATAACAGTTGACAGCAAACAGAAAACAATCTAGGGCCGAGCACGGTGGCTCAAGCCTGTAATCCCAGCACTTTGGGAGGCCGAGGCGGGTGGATCACAAGGTCAAGAGATCAAGACCATCCTGGTCAACATGATGAAACCCCGTCTCTACTAAAAAAAATACAAAAAACATTAGCTGGGCATGGTGGCGCGTGCCTATAATCCCAGCTACTCAGGAGGTTGAGGCAGGAGAATTGCCTGAACCCAGGAGGCGGAGGTTGCGGTGAGCCAAGATCGTGCCATTGCACTCCAGCCTGGGTAACAAGAGTGAAACTCCGTCTCAAAAAAAAAAAAAAAAAAGAAAACAATCTAAATAGATTTAATTAATAAATTAACTCCATTAACAACTGACTTAGAAGTATCTCCCAAAAGCAAAGCTTGTGGTACAGGCATCTGCTTCCTGATTAGCAGAAAAAAAGACATGGAAGTGAAAGCATGGTTGGCAGTTAGTTCTGTCAGGTCTTAGGCCCAGGGCAGAAAATTGCTTGCTGCCACCAACAGGCCAGCAGTGAGAACCTTTTCTAGGGCTTTGATTTAAAGCAGTGTTTCTCAAGCTTTTTTTTTTTTTCTTTTGAGACAAGGTCTTGCTGTGACCCAAGCTGGAGTGCAGTGAAGTGATCTCGGCTCACTGCAACCTCCACCTCCTGAGTTCAAGTGATTCTTCTATCTCAGCCCCCGAAGTAGCTGGGACCACAGACACAAGCCACCAGCCCAGCTAAGTTTTTAATTTTTTTGTAGCAATAAGGGGTTTTGCCGTGTTGCCCAGGCTGGTCTTGAACTCCTGAGCTCAAGCAATCCAACCACTTCAGCCTCCCAAAGTGCTGGGATTACAGGCATGAGTCACTGTAATATATAATAAAGAGCTGGGCCAGGCGCAGTGGCTCATTCCTGTAATCCCAGCACTTTGGGAGGCTGAGGTGGGCGGATCACAAGATCAGGAGTTCCAGACCAGCCTGACCAACGTGGTGAAACCCCATCTCTACTAAAAATACAAAAATTAGCTGGGCATGGTGGCATGAGCCTGTAATGTCAGCTACTCAGAAGGCTAAGGCAGGAGAATTGTTTGAACCTGGGAGGCAGAGATTGCAGTGAACCAAGATCGTGCCACTGTACTCCAGCCTGGGCGACAGAGTGAGACTCTGCCTCAAGAAAAAAAAAAAAAGATAATAAAGAGCCACTGTAAATAGATAATAAAGAAATGAAAAGGCCAGGTGTGATGGCTCATCCTGTAATCCCAGCACTTGGGGTGGCCAAGGCAGAAAGGATTACCTGAGCCCAGGAGTCACCTGAGACCAGTCTGGGCAAGATAGCAAGACACTGTCTCTAAATAAGAAAGAAGCCAGGTAGGCCGGGCGCAGTGGCTCAAGCCTGTAATCCCAGCACTTTGGGAGGCTGAGGTGGGTGGATCATGAGGTCAAGAGATCGAGACCATCCTGGTCAACATGGTGAAACCCCGTCTCTACTAAAAAAAAAAAAAAAAAAAAAAAAATAGCTGGGCATGGTGGCGCATGCCTGTAATCCCAGCTACTCAGGAGGCTGAGGCAGAATTGCCTGAACCCAGGAGGCGGAGGGTGCGGTGAGTTGAGATCACGCCATTGCACTCCAGCCTGGGTAACATAAGTGAAACTCCGTCTCAAAAAAAAAAAAAAAACAAAGAAGCCAGGTAAGGTGGTACATGCCTATAGTCCTAGTTACTCAGGAGGCTGATGTGGGAGGACTGCTTAAGCCCAGCAGATCGAGGCTGCAGTGCTTTGTGATTGTGCCATAGCACCACTGCACTGCAGCCTGGGTGACAGAACAAGACCCTGTCTTAAAATAAAAATAAAAATAAAAAAAAAAAGGAAAGTGAAAGGAAGAAAAAGATGTTGACTCACAGGTAATCAGGGAAATGTAATCTAACATAATAAAGTATCTTTTTGAACTTGTACAAAATCCTTTGACTTAAAAGAAAAAAAAACAATAAAGTATCTTTTTTTTTTTCCTTTGCTTATTGGGTTGACAAAAATGTGAAAGACTGATAAAACCCAATATCGGCAAGGGTATGGGAAAACAAATTCATATATGGTTGGTAGAAGTGTAAAGTGGTAAAACTGTTGTGAGAATAATTTAGCAAGATCTAATAAATTTAAAATACATTTTTTCTTTGAACCGCTAATTACATTCTATAGAAACATACTGATACACAAAGATACATATGAAGGGTGGTCACAATAGCACTGTGTGTAATAGCAAAACTTTGGAAATAACTTTATCAATGCATACATTATAATGCATCCAGACCATGGAATACTTTGGAACCTTTACAAATAATGAGAAGGAAGCTCTACCTTCACTGTCACGGAAAGATCTCCTAAGACATATTTAGTCGGGGAAAAAAAGATGTCCTCAGAGCAATATGTATAATATGATCTCTTTTACAAAAAAGGAAAAATATCCTCAACATTGTATACAGAATACTGACACACCCATTTATAAACGCATAGAGAAAGGTCTGCAAAAAGACAGTTCAAAAATAGAAAAGGGAACTTCCATGTATGAGGAAAAATACAGAGGCATACTAAAACAATTATTAACCAAGTTGTTAATAATTGTTTTAAATTGTTCTAAAAGTGGCTTCCTCCCACTCAAAAGGAGAGGAAGAAACCAGAAAGACAAGAAATGGTCTTAGTTGTGAAAGCCAATTCCCTCCAGAATGACTACAACAGGCACCAGCTGCCCACCTACCCCAATGTCAAACAGTGAGTGTACAGGCTTGTGGTCACTGGTCTTCAGGGCCATGTGGCTCTGGTAACTCAGCTGAGTGATGTTCTTCCCTTTCCAGAGGATCCGGTCACACCAGGCAGGAGCACGGCACTTCTCACTGAAATGCAAAGTCCACCCTGGAAGTATTCACGGAAACAGCGGTGCCCACTGCCTGGCAAGTGCCCTGGCTCAGGCAGAGTGATGAATCAGGGCCTGCATGTCCACATGGCTAAGTCATCTGAGGAAGCAAGGGCAATTTGGGCCCACCAAGGGATAACATACATCCTGTGGGTATCATCCAAAACAACTATGAAAGCTCAAAGTCAAAACAGAGTTCAGACTGATTCTCTGTTCTTTACCCTCCTATGAGAATTAGGAGAGAATTAAAAAACCAATCTAACAGTAAGCACTCTATGGTCTTTTTTTTTGAGATGGAGTCTTGATCTTTAGCCAGGCTGGAGTACAGTGTCACAATCTCGGCTCACAGCAACCTCCGTCTCCCAGGTTCAAGCGATTCCCCTGCCTTAGCCTCCTGAGTAGCTAGGAGTACAGGTACGTTCCACCACGCCTGGTTAATTTTTTGTATTTTAGTAGAGATGGGGTTTCACCATGGCCAGGATGATCTCGATCTCCTGGCATAATGATCTGCCTGCCTCAGCCTCCCAAAGTGCTGGGATTACAGGCGTGAGCCACCACACCCGGCCACTCTATGGTCTTTAAAAGATGCTGGTTAAGGCCGGGCACAGTCACTCATGCCTGTAATCCTAGCACTTTGGGAGGCCGAGGCAGGTGGATCACAAGGTCAAGAGATTAAGACCATCCTGGCCAACATGGTGAAACCCCGTCTCTATTAAAAATACAAAAATTAGCTGCGTGTGGTGGTGTGTGCCTGTAGTCCCAGTTATTCAGGAGGCTGAGGCAGGAGAATCGCTTGAACCCAGGAGGCAGAGGTTGCAGTGAACCAAGATTACGCCACCGTATTCTAGCCTGGCGACAAAGTGAGACTCCATATCAAAAAAAAAAAAAAAAGATGCTGGTTAAGAGACAGGCTCTGAATTTCCCTCTGCCTGGGTTCAAATCCTCCCTGTATCCCTTGGCTACCTGGGGCCTCTTTAATTTTTCTATGCTTCAGTTTCCAATCTCATAAAATGAGGTAAATCGTACCTACTTCAACAGGGTCTTGAGGATTAAATAAGAAAATAACAAGTGCACCAAAAGTACGTGGCACATGGTAAGCAATAAAAGTACATGGCACATGGTAAGTAATAAAAAAATATTAACTACTGACTTTGGGAGGCTGAGGCAGACGGATCACTTGAGGCCAGGTGTTCAAGACCAGCTTGGCCAACATGGCGAAACCCTGTCTCTACAAAAATACAAAAATTAGCTGGGCGTGGTAGCACACACCTGTAATCCCAGCTACTCAGGAGGATGAGGCAGGAGAATCGCTTGAACTCGGGAGGCGGAGGTTGCAGTGAGCCAAGATTCAGCCACTGCAACAGATCAAGACTGTCTCAAAACAAACAAACAAAACTATTAACTACTATGTAATGACCAAGTACCAGCTAAGTTAGTTGGAATCATCTCATCCTAGGCACAGCTGAAAAGTAAATCAGTATTAAAAATTATTATGGAACAAAGGCAAAGGCAGTCACAAAGTAAATACATGGGAAAGCAGGCTGCTTCATGAGCAAATACTGAGACAAAATGTTTGACCAGAGTGCCAAACATGGGGAAAAAGTCACAGGAAGCATATATTCTTCCTTAGGCCCAAAAGGGCAAGTGCTTCCCAGAATTTCTGGGTTTTCATTTGTTCAGTCATTTGAAGAAACCTCTGACCTACCTGGTATCCCAGTCGTCAGAGCCCGTATCGTATTTATAAGTAGGCTGGAATGTGAGCTCACCCTCTGTGAAGCCTTCAAAGACAGTCTTTTTGTCCACCTGAATTTTCAGCTATACAAAATGATGGGAGAAAAAACAAATCTCACAATAAAAAGGTCAAACTTTGAATTAGTGGGGAAAAGGATATCAGTCTAGACTTCAAACTCTAACTCAAAGGAAAAAGCCCCCCAAAAAAGTTATTCTATAAGATCTTTTTTTTTGAAGATAGAGTTTTGCTCTTGTTGCCCAGGCTGGAGTGCAGTGGTGCGATCTCGGCTCACTGCAACCTCTGCCTCCCAGGTTCAAGCAATTCTTCTGCCTTAGCCTCCTGAGTAGCTGGGATTACAGGCTCGCGCCATCATGCCCAACTAATTTTTTTGTATTTTTAGTAAAGACAGGGTTTCATCATGTTGGCCAGGCTGGTTTCAAACGCCTGATCTCAAGTAATCTGCCTGCCTTGGCCTCCCAAAGTGTTGGGATTACAGGCACAAGCCACCATGCCCAGCTTCTATAATATCTTAAGTTAGCTAACTCCTAGGAAAGTGAACAAGCTGACCATTTCTTTTCTGTATATAGTTTTTATTTTTTTAGTTGTTTTTAATTTTTTTTTATTTTTTAAAGACAGGGTCTTACTCTGTCACCCAGGCTGGAGTGCCATGGTGTGACCATAGTTCACTACAGCCACCATCTCCTGGGCTCAAGCAATCCTCCCACCTCAGCCTTCCAAGTAGCTGGGACTGCAGGTGTACACCACCACACAGCTATTTTTAAAAACTTTTTAGAGACACGGTCTCACTAGGCTGCCTAGGCTTGTCTGAAACTTTTGGCCTCAAGTGATCCTCCTGCCTTGGCCTCCCAAAGTGATGGGACTGCATGTGCAAGCCATCATGCCTGGCTAAGGCTCCTTTGTAACAGCATAGCTACACCCAAAGGGCCTGATTATCACCTTACTTAGATATCTTTAAGAGGATTAGGTATCACTTACACTTAACAAACTAATAGTTTTTCTCTGCCAGGTATCAAACACTTCATCTGTATAGCATAGATGCTCCAAATATACACAAAGATAGAACTGCGTTGTCAAATTAGTTTCGTGAACTGGGGAAAGCTCTGTGCCTTGGTTGCTGCAGCTGCAAATTTTGGATTTATAATAGAATCTACCTCATAGGGTTGTTAGAAAGATTCGCTGTCAACTTAAACAGTGCCTGACACACTATGATAACAGTTAGCACCCTTCCTATGAATTTTAGGAGTGCCTTCCAGATCACACTCTCAGCAACGTAAAAACTACAGGTGCTGGCCGGGCACGGTGGCTCATGCCTGTAATCCCAGCACTTTGGGAGGCCGAGGTGGGTGGATCATGAGGTCAGGAGTTCGAGACAAGCCTGGCCAACATGGAGAACCCCATCTCTAGTAAAAATACAAAAAAAAAAAAAACTAGCCTGGTCTGGCATGGTTGCGCACACCTGTAGTCCCCACTATTCAGGAAGCTGAGGCAGGAAAATCGCTTGAACCAAGAAGGCAGGGGTTGCAGTAAGCCGAGATCGCGCCCCTGCACTCCAGCCTGAGCAATAGAGGGATACTCTGTCTCAAAAAAACAAAACAAAACACAGGTACTCCTCCCTCTTCCCTGAAGCACCAAGCGTGGCACTGCATGGACTGGTGAAGAACTGTCACCTCTAACATTGCACATGGTCAGCTATTGAGTAGACACCACTTGCCAAATTCCTATTCAAAAGCAACAGAAAATAGTTAAAATGTAGGTATGAATATAAGCTAGGTATGAATGTACAGACCTTAAAACCATGTAGTAGGCAGATAACACACAAAATGGGTACTATTGCTTCAGGAAAGACCAGAAAAGAAGGCAGGTAGAGATGGGTATTAAACTACAAGGGAAGTTAGAATGCCTCAGACCAGAACACAGAGGAGATAAAAAAATAGAAAGACATAAATAAGTTGAGATTCCTTCTCTTTAGTTAATCTGCACTGGAGGAAAAAATATAATGGAAATATTTAGATTAACGACAATACTAAAGTTATTAAAAGGGAGGCTACAGAACAACAACAAAAAAGAATGTTTAACACTCTAAACAACCTGACCACCTAAACAAGTCTGAAATCTACTGAGAGCAGTAGCCAGAAGAAAGTCACAGAGGAACAGATTCTCTTGTGAAACGTCGAGTGCTCTGAGAGGGAAATGCTCCATCAAGCAATGATGGAGAACAGCAGGTTACTGATTCCTGTAGGAAGTGAGGAAAGCCATGTGGGAAGAGCTGTCACTCACAATGGAGAAGTCTGGTGAGGAGAAGCACAGAGGGGAAGAAGGCTCATACTAAAAACAATTATTACATCATCTTAAATATACCAAGTCCTTTCTTTATAGAAAGTTGGTACTCTTTTAGCCCCAACTTCAGACCTCTTGAATGAATGAATGAGAAAGTGAGAGAGAGAACACACTCTTGCTTCCAAAGGAGAAAATGTGCTTCAGGAAAGAAGCAATAGGGAGACAATTATGGAAAAGGGAATGCAGATGAAATGAAGAAATGACTGGACAACATCAGGAACTCAGAGAAACCTCTCAAGCCAAGGAAGAAGAGGCTGTGAGTTTGGAAGCCAGGCTTTTCCGTGCCCTCACAGTGGAGGACAGCTGCTGGAAGAGGGCACAGGTGGCCATCTGTACCTGATCATATTCATATAGGGTTTGAAAGTCCTTCTCTTCGATGAGCTTTTTCACTTTTTCCACATCCATGTTTTCTATCCTGTAGTTGAGGTCCCCCAGCCACAAGATCACACTGTGAGGGCAGAGCACAAAGGTAACAGGGTTTAGGAGGAACTTTAGCCCAACCTACCCAGGGTGCTTCTGACGAAAGGCCCCTGAGGCTCAGCCTCTTGGGAGGTGAGTGAGGAAATGGCTCAACTGTTCAGGAAATTTTTTTCTCTTGCCATCCCATTTAATACTCTAATGTGATGCTTGCTTGTGATAATTGTCTCTTGGTCTAAGCTCCTTATAAATAGCCTTGCGTTCTCCTTAACTATTTTATTTCTGTAGGTTGGAAAGATAGTCTGATAAGATCTAAAAAATAGTAATTTACCCCATTCCTAGGAATAAGGAAAAAAGATCAAGAATTGAGAGTCCTGTCAATCACCCAGGGACCCCAAACCAGATGATGCCACACAATGCCACCTCTGCCTCTGTGTATACTGCAGTCCACAAAACACACTTTCAGCCTTTATTTCTAAAGCAGAGTTCCTCTGAAACAAAGTTCAAGGCCGGGTATGGTGGCTCACACCTGTAATCCCAGCACTTTGGGACGCTGAGGCAGGTGGATCACAGGGTCAGGAGTTCAAGACCAGCCTGGCCAAGATAGTGAAACCCTGTCTCTTAAAAAAAAAAGAAAACAAATTTCAAACTTTATAGTGGAGCATAGATTTAATCCCTACCATATCATTGGTTGGCTCTTTTTGTGCTGTTGGGTAGAGTGTAGAAGGTGTTTTATTCCTCTTGCTGCTTTGGGAAAAAGCTAACTGAAGGCTCCCTGATGACAATGTACATCTCATTAAGTCAAATACTGCTGTATCTGAAGCCAGCAACCATGTCATTAGAGAATCTGCACAGCAGTACACACACACCAAAATTAATGCATCCACAAACTAAAAGCAGACAAACTGACACATAAGCTGCGACCTCACAAACTAGGATGCTGCAGGTTCACCAGAATAGAAGAGCTCGGCTGCAAGACACTCCCTGCTAGGTTCCCTGGAGAAGAAAAACCATCCTGTCAGCTTCCAGAACACTAAAAAGTTCCAGACAGTTCCACTTCAGCAGGCAGGACAAGAAGCATAACTCTGTTTACTCCTTGGCAGACATCACGGCTCCAGTGGCTTCTACCTCTTTATAAAAGAAGTGGCATACACTTCAACTGTTATCCTAAAGTCTAAAATTCTAAGGCTTTGACTTTAGACAAATAGGAAGTTTTAGAAATAAATGAGATAAAATAAAGAGAAGAAACAAAAATTAGCACAAGATGCTCTCAGCAGCTGCAACTGTAGCTTTGTGAAGTTGAATTAAAAAGAAAAAAAGAGCCAGGCATGGTGGCTGACACCTGTAATCCCAGCACTTTGGGAAGCCAAGGCGGGTGGATCTCCTGAGGTCAGAAGTTCGAGACCAGCCTCGCTAACGTGGTGAAATCCTGTCTTTACTAAAAAACAAAAATTAGTCAGGTGTGGTGGTGTGCACCTGTAGTCCCAGCTACTCCGGAGGCTGAGGCAGGAAAATCGCTTGGACCTGGGAGGCGGGGGATGCAGTGAGCCAAGATCGTGCCACTGCACTCCAGCCTGGGCAGCAAGAGCAAAACTCTACCTCAAAAAAAAAAAAAAAGTAGATATATAAAATACTAAAACATACTTCTAAAAACTGGGTTTGATATGCTCATTCTTTGGTTTTCTTCATAATGTTGGATGTAGACAGACCAAAATTAAAATAAATCTTAAAAAAAATAAAAGAAAAAAGATAAATCTTAAGCAGAACTCAGACTACAATATAGCTGTGAACTGACGTTTTGTCATATTCCCTGCCCAAAATAAACTTTTCCCTCTCCTTTCTCCTCTCCTTTCCTTCCTTTCGTTTTTCCTTTCTCCTCTCCTTGCCTTTCTCTTCCCCTTCCCTTTCTGTTCTTTCTGCCTCAGCTTCCTGAGTAGCTGGGATTACAGACATGCAGCAACACCCTAGCTAATTTTTTAAATATTTTCAGAGACACTATGTTGCCCAGGCTATTCTTGAACCCCTGAGCTCTAGCAATCCCCCTCCTCAGCCTCCTAAAGTCCTGGGATAACACGCATGAACCACTCCACCCAGCCTCACTTTCTTCTTAACTACTTCTAGCTGCTATACTACAGCAGCCAAAGACTCTCATACATGTTGATAAATTAAATATTGAAAAATAAAATAAACCTTGGCCAGATGCAGTGGCTCATGCCTGTAACCCTAGCACTTTGGGAGGACGAGGCAGATGGATCACCTGAGGTCAGGAGTTCGAGACCAGCCTAGCCAACATGGTGAAATCTCATCTCTACTAAAAATACAAAAATTAGCCCAGCATGGTGGCACGCACCTGTAGTCCCAGCCACTCAGGAGGCTAATGCAGGAGACTCACTTGAACCCAAGAAGTGGAGGTTACAATGAGGCAAGATAGCACTACTGCACTCCAGCCTAGTGATACAGCGAGACTCCATCTCAAAATTAAAAAACTAAATAAATAAACCTTATACTTTCCCAAGGACACATAATGCTTGAGAAACACTCTGGAGTGTGCTTGCTTCGGCAGCACATATACTAAAATTGAAACGATACAGAGATGATTAGCATGGCCCCTGAGCAAGGATGACATGCAAATAAAAATTTAAAAATAAAAAAAGAGAAAGGCTCTAGAGATCTGCCAGATGGTAAGTTAGGAAAGTAAAAATTTTCAAGAGATATAATCCATGTATAACCAAGAGGTGGCAGCCACCATTGCAGCAATGGGAAACCGCCACCAGGCATCTCCTCATCAAAAGACAGAGCCCATAACTCTATGCATTCATGGTAAATGGTATGGGGGTGGAAGCCCAGACTCACTCGTGCTTGCTGATGGTGAGAGGGGGAAGGCTTGGGTCAAGCTGATAAAACTGCATTCGAGAACAAATGTCCTTATAGTCCTGGTTCCTCCTCGCATTCTCTTCAGTGTGTGCTGCCAAGTGAGAATTCACAACGCAGATGCTGGTGTTGTGGAACTGGAACCTGATCGCCACGCCTCCCTTGTTGCCCTGTGGAAAGGATCCCCAAAGAAATCCAATTCAAACTTAACTGTGTCAGTCATTTAAACCTACAGACTTTCAAAATGTTTTGTCTTAATCTTTATAATAATCCTGTGAGCTTATTATCTATATTTTACAGATTAAAAAAAAAATAAGAAGGCAGAATGACTAGCCAGTCAGTGGCAAAGCTGAGTCCAAAACCTAGCTCTCTCGAATTCCTGGCCCCAAGTGATCCACCCACCTCGGCCTCCCAAAGTGCTGGGATTACAGTTGTGAGCCACCGCGCCAGCCCCAAAACTTAGCTCCCTCAATCCAGTGTTCTTTACACTAAATCACAGGCAAACCATATGTGCCCTTCGCCACACAAAGCTAAGCTCTTATAGAAGAACCTAAAAAGAGAACTTTAATGGCCTCAAGAAGAAGAGGAAACTGCAAACCTACTATCAGCATTCTTTGTTTTCCTGGATGACCCACCATAGTTTCTGCAACATACTTCATGGGTGAAATGGGAGGATCAACCGGAGGCTCTAGTGTTGGTGAATACAAGGATAGGCGCTAGTTGGTTAAATCAGCAGGCAGTTCACTAAAATGCAGTTTCTAAATAGTTTGCTCGACTGAGCCCTGCTTGAGGGTATGATTCATCCTGGAACACTGGCACCTTCAAACTGGGACATGTGTAGTCTCTGTGTCATCAGAAGCAGTCAATACCTCAGGAGTTAAGGTCCTCAATGTGCCAAACATATCAATCAAGGACTCACCATCCTCCCCATGATTCCTGTCCCCACAGTCTCAGCTTCCACTTCTGAGATATATGCTGCATGCTCCTGTTTGACATATAACAGCAGCATGATCCCAACCAGTCGGATGAGCTTCACCTGGAAATGAAAGACATGGCATTAAATAGAAGTTGCAAACAGGAATAAATACTCCAAAGGAAAAGCGGTCTGGAAGCTGGCTGAGAGTATTAACATCTCTCTTTCTCCACGCTAGAACACAGGTAATCATCTGTTCAACTCACCAAGCATGCTACGTACTAACCTATGAGTGCCGACACCCTGCATCTTTCCCACCCAGAGGCACCCCTTCTGGAAGATCTGGAAATTAAAATTGTGGGATAATTAAGATTGGCTTAAGATAAAGGTTATGGGCTGGGCACGGTGGTTCACACCTGTAATCCCAGCATTTTGGGAGGCTGAGGCGGGTGGATCAGGAGGTCAGGGGATCGAGACCATCCTGGCCAACATGGTGAAACCCCATCTCTTCTAAAACACAAAAAGTTGGCCATGCATGGTGGCGTGCACATGTAATCCCAGCTACTCCGGAGGCTAAGGCAGGGGAATTGCTTAAACCCAGGAGGCGGAGGTTGCAATGAGCCGAGATCCCACTACTGCACTCCAGCCTGGCGACAGAACAAGACTCAGTCTCAAAAATAAAAAAGATAAAGGTCATGTAAAAGGTGAAAAATGATCTTGGAATTTCCCTGCATGGCAACATAAAATGAAAAGGTCCCTGACTCCTCTCTTACCTTTGCATATTTGGCATCTGGATGAAGTCCCTCTGACACAGCTTTAAACCACTCTTCCTCCTTTGGGGTATCATGAAAGAAAAAAGCTTCCTTACTCAGATCAAGCTCTTGGAACCTATTTGGAGAAGCAGCCAGTTAGATAGTAAAGAAAAGTAATGTGCAAATGACACATTCTCAGATTGGTTTAGGTGCATAAGCTCTAGCTTTCTAGCTAAACTTCAGGACTCTGAGGAGGAAAAAATAAACAAACACTTAGAGCCAAGGAACTAAATGCCAAGGAACTTTCCAGGTGCTTTTGCAAACAAAACCCCATTCCTTTTCATGACCAGCCTAAGAAGTAGTTTGAAGTGTCACTATTCTACATCTGTAGTCCCTGGTTCACACAAGCACCAAGTGGTAAACCAGATTCAAACCTAGGTCTATATAAATTCCAAATTCTAGTTCTTTTCAATATACTATACAAGCTTTGCTGCCCCTCTCCACCAGTAAGGCCCAGTATAGTAATGAGAAGGTTAAAAAAAAAAAAAGAAAAAAACTAACTGATGGAACTTTCTTCAGGTAACCTTCCTTCTCTGGCAAAAGACATTTTTGCTTTGTAATCAAAAAAGGATTGAATGTCTAAGCAGTAAAGTTCAATTCAGGATGCACTGAGTTCAGGATGCAATTCAGTATTTTAACAGAAGATTACACTAAAAGTTAAATATTAGCACTTAAATGCCAAGCACTTCACTTTAACAGTGGCAGACATTTGCTTGCCATGAGGAAGAACATCAAACGGGGAAGCAGCTGTTATAAGCACCTGTTCATTTTTCAAATCCTTCACCTGCTGTGAAGACCCATCCTCAACCACAGTTCTGTGTGCTTGAAGATGGAGACAGGACGAGAAGAAAAGCACTCACCCGACACAGTAGACATCTGGGGCTTCGATACCTTCGCTCAGCCAGGGCCGAAGGCATTCTTTGGGAGACTGTCCATTAACATTGTATGTTCCCACAAAAAACCTGTCACCAAGGAGAAAGTAGTAATGACTGCAAATCACTATGGAGATTACAGAAGAAAGCATTTTATGCTGATTTATGCTGGTTTTAGTCTCTGCGGAGTGGCATTTACAGACATAAAAAAATATCATTTCTGGCCGGGCGTGGTGGCTCAAGCCTGTAATCCCAGCACTTTGGGAGGCCGAGGCGGGTGGATCACGAGGTCAAGAGATCGAGACCATCCTGGTCAACACGGTGAAACCCCGTCTCTACTAAAAATACAAAAAATTAGCTGGGCATGGTGGCGTGTGCCTGTAATCCCAGCTACTCAGGAGGCTGAGGCAGGAGAATTGCCTGAACCCAGGAGGCGGAGGTTGCGGTGAGCCGAGATCGTGCCGTTGCACTCCAGCCTGGGTAACAAGAGCGAAACTCCGTCCCAAAAAAAAAAATAATATCATTTCTGATCAGGACTAAAGCACCAAGGGGTGACTTGTGGTCTGTTATGGTATCTGTTGCTTTTGTGAGAAAAATTTCAACAGTATAGGCCTATTCTGAACATTCCTACTTTCTTTAAATGGCCATTATCCAGCCATTATCTGCATAATTCTTTGCCCTGTATATACTAATGAAATGAAAAACTGAAAAGTGCTTTGGTAATTACTTTGGCAAGAAAGCAACAACAGTGTTCAAAAGGCTATTTCTTCACCATAATTCACAGTTTATATCGCTAGAAACAATGTTATTTTATCTAGAGTCCCAATGCAATGATTCTGAAAGATCTAGCAGAATCCCACAACCTTTATTCATTTAGCTTTTAGTAATCTTGCCCAAAAAGATTACCAAACACCAGCTAACTTCGTTTTACTAATTTCACTCTAAATGACTTTCTTCAAAGGGCCAGAATGACCAAGGGAGTACAGAACCTTGGAGGGATACATAAGAATCACGGGGCTGGGTGTGGTGGCTCACACTTATAACCTCAACATTTTGGGAGGCCAAGGCAGGAGGATTGCTCGAGCCCAGGAGCTTGAGATCTGCGTGGGCAACATAGTGAGACACTGTCTCTACAAAACTTAAAAAATTAGCTAGGCGTAGTGGTATACCCACGTGTATTACCAGCTACTCCAGCAGCTGAGGTGGGAGGGTTACTTGAGCCTGGGAGGTTGAGGCTGCAGTGAGCTGTGATTGCATCACCGCACTCCACCCTGGGCAACAAAGCGAGACCTTGTCTCAAAAAGATAAAACATTGCTGGGCGCGGTGGCTCAAGCCTGTAATCTCAGCACTTTGGGAGGCCGAGGCGGGTGGATCACAAGGTCAAGAGATTGAGATCATCCTGGTCAACATGGTGAAACCCCGTCTCTACTAAAAATACAAAACATTAGCTGGGCATGGTGGTGCGTGCCTGTAATCCCAGCTACTCAGAAGGTTGAGGCAGGAGAATTGCCTGAACCCAGGAGGCGGAGGTTGCGGTGAGCCAAGATCGTGCCATTGCACTTCAGCCTGTGTAACAAGAGCGAAACTCCGTCTCAAAAAAAAAAAAAAAAAAGATAAAACATTAAAAAAAAAAATGAAAGAATCATGATGGTGCTCCTTCTTCTGTACCAATTTGTCTCTGCAAATATTTCTGTAACTAACTGCAAGTTGTAACTATCTGCAAGTCGTGTCATTCCACTATACCACACCTACCACAGTGCCCACCTAGAGAGAGCACAGAATAAATGCCTGTTAGTAAACAGTGCATAGAATCACTCACTTCAAAAACGAGGGGAGAGAGTCTATAGAAGAGTATGCCTCCAAATCCAGGTATAGGAGGAAGTGCTCAAATTCCAGAGAGCCAAATGATCATTCTGGGGCCAGGCATGGTGGCTCATGCCTGTAATCCCAGCACTTTGGGAGGCTGAGGCGGGCAGATCACCTGAGGTCAGGAGGTTGAGACCAGCCTGGCCAACATGGTGAAATACCATCTCTGCTAAAAATACAAAAATCAGCCAGGCATGGTGGTGCATGCCTGTAATCCCAACTACTCAGGAGGCTGAGGCAAAGGAATCACTTGAACCCTGAAGGCGGAGGTTGCAGTGAGCAGAGATTGCACCACTGCACTTCAGCCTGGGTGACAGAGCAAGACTCCATCTCAAAAAAATAAATAAATAAAAAGATCATTCTGTTCTGAAAACATCATAGGACCCAGTTACCTACCTGAAGTTCTGGATGTAGGTATAATCCTCTTCTTTCTGTAGTAGATGTGATTTTACAATAGTATCTCGCAGTCCAAACTTCTGCATGGATAAAATATGAGCCTTGTCTGAGACTGTGATAGTGGAGGACCGAACCATGTCAGTAATTTGGGACTTGGATTTATTCTGTCTGGAAAAACAAAAACATTTTTTTCGTATGTAGATGAGTCCCATGGCAAAATGAATGAATATAAAGCTAAAAGATCCCATCTAAGTCACAGAAGACTAAAGGAGGCCAAAGTAAAATTTATTTACTAAAATAACACTATTTCTATGTGGAATTAGGTAAATTTATATTTTGTTGATTGTATAATATATTGGTCTGGAGACTTTCCTGATAATAGAGTCACAGAATTTCAGACCAGAGGGGCACCTTAAGGATAATCCAATTCCCCCAGTTCTAAATGAGAAAAATGAAACCCAGTGTCATCACCCACATGTATGGTAGCAGAATATGGATTAGAACATGGAATTGACAGGCGGGTGCAGTGGCTCATGCCTGTAATCCCAGCACTTTGGGAGGTCGAAGTAGGTGGATCACTTGAGGCTGGGAGTTCAAGACCAGCTTGGCCAACATGGTGAAATCCCATCTCTACCAAAAATACAAAAATGAGCCAGGTGTGGTGGTGCATGCCTATAATCCCAGGTGCTCGGGAGGTTGAGGCAGGAGAACCACTTGAACCTGGGAGGCGCAGGCTGTAGTGACGGGGTAACAAAGTGAGACTCTGTCTCAAAAAAAAAAAAAAGAAAAAAAACTATAAAACCCTCTAGATCCTTTGATTTGATCATTTTACTATGTACATCTATTCTACAGGAATAATTCAAAATAAAAGGAAGCCAATAAAAATTTATATTTCATTATTCTTGGCATTATACTGTATTTATAGTCATAACTAAAATACTGACACAAGTGTTTTATCTTTTGGGAGGCTGAGGTGGGTGGATCACTTGAGGTCAGGAGTTCAAGACCAGCCTGGCCATCATGGTGAAACTCCATCTTAAAAAAATAAATAAATAAATAAAAAGAACATTTCCTAGGCCAGCCACCCTGGAACGACTTACATTATGCCCAGTAATGGTCTCTGTACTATGAGGAGAACATCAGTCCTACAAGAGACAAATGAAGGGAGAGTTGCATTACCTTGGTTGCAAGCTTTCTGGTTTATCTTGATCACTGGAGTTTTGGTCCATAGGCAGTCCCTTCCCATTTGGCCTCAAACCATCAAAGTTAGAACCACCTAAAGGGAAGGAGAAGGAATTAAAATATACATATATAGGCTGGGCATGGTGACTCATGCCTGTAATCCCAGCACTTTAGGAAGCCGAGGCGGATGGATCACCTGAGGTCGGGAGTTTGAGACCAGCCTGACCAACATGGAAAAATACAAAATTAGCTGGGTGTGGTAGCTCAGGTCTCTAATCCCAGCTACTTGGAAGGCTGAGGCGGGAAAATCGCTTGTACCTGGAAGGCAGAGGTTATGGTAAGCCAAGATCACGCCATTATACTCCAGCCTGGGCAACAACAGTGAAACTCCATCTCAAAAATTAATTAATTAATTAAAATAAAATATACATATATATGCTTCAATATACAGACAACAGCTTCACAAATTGTAGTCTAGGAATCATTGGTAGTCCACATATTGCTTCCACAGATTCCACAGATCATGCACAGAAGGAGAAAAAAGTATTTCATTTGGGTATCTTTACTGCTGAAAATGTAACTATTACAGCTAGTCTAACTCCCTTTTCTTGGAGACAAGGTACATTATAGAAAGAATAAAACAACGAAATCTGAAAAACCTCAGTTTTAATCACCTGCTTTACTATTTGTTGACCTGACTTTGGAAAATCCATCTAACCTCTCTCAATCTCAGTAATTTGACCTGTCCTGCCTTCTTCACAGGTTTACTGTAGGATCAACTGAGTTGACATGTGAATAGGCACTTTAAAAGCTACAAAACATATTATAAAACATAATACAGTGACTTCCACTCCAAAGAGGAGAAAGGCAAGGGTCAGAGATTAAAACCGGAAATAGTCTAAGTGCTCTAGAAAATGAGAAGCGCCTGTCATTGTTAACAAATTATCTTGAAAACCAAAGAGCTCAAGGGCCCAATCCAGAAATATTTTGGGAAAGTCGTTAAACCAAGATAAACCTGGAAAGGAAAATTAACCTACCAATAGCTTCTCTGCTCTTTAAAAGCCAGATCTCTTGTCAACAGGGAACAACATGAAGAGGTCACAGGGAGATGTGATTTTAATACCCAAGTTATGGGAAGGAGCTCTGGAGGAATGAAACACCACTCAAGAATTTTGCTCTAAAGACTATTACTGAACATGGATTTCTTAACCATACATTCACATGAACCAGAAAAACAAACTTTTGGAAAAAAAAAAAGCACAATCATTTGAAACATGAAAATAATCACACTTTAATGCCTCCAATCACTAAATCCTATAGACTGAATATTTATACCCCTGCCCAAAGTCATATGTTGAAATCGTAACCCCCAAGATAATGTACTAGGAGGTGCGGTCTTTGCGAGATATGAGGTGTTTAGGTCACAAGGGTGGAGCCTTCATGATTGGGATTAGTGCCCTTATAAGGGCTGAGGAGACTAGAGTTCCTCCTTTTGCTATGTGAGAACACAGTGAAAAGACAGCTGCCACTAAGCCAGAAAGCAGGCCCTCACCAGACACTGAATCTGCCGGCACCTTGATCTTGGACTTCTCAGCCTCTAAAGCTGTGAAAAATAAATCTCTGCTTTTGTTTTGTGGGGTTATTTTCTGTATTCTTTTTAATTCTTTTTCTTTTTTTTTTTTTTTTTGAGACAGGGTCTCCAGGCTGGAGTACAGTAGCCTGAGCATGGCTCACCGTAGCCTCGACCTCCAGGGCTCATGCAATCCTCCCACCTCGGCCTCTTGGGTAGCTGGGATTACAGGCACACGTCACCATGCCCAGCTAACTTTTTGTTTTTTTTTTTTTTTTTTTTTTTTATAGATCTGGACTTTTGCTATGTTTCCCAGGCTGGTCTTGAACTCTTGGGCTCAAGTGATTCTCCCACCTCAGCCTCTCAAAGTGTTGGGATTACAGATGTGAGCCACCATGCCCAGCCAAATCTCTGTTGTTTATAAACTACCACTTTATGGTATTTTGTTATAACAGCCTATAGACTAAGGCTAAACTAAGACACCAAACTCTTTCAATTTTGCTTCCTAAATGCCTTTCAAACCAATATATTCCTATCCCCAATGTCACTGTGCTAGTCTAAGTTACCAATTTCTCCCCTGAATGATTATAAAATCTCAACTAGTTTCCCTGCCCCTTTTCTCACCCCACCCTCTCCAACCCAATCTCTACACTGTGGCCAGAGGATTTTTTTTTTTAAAGTAAATTAGGGCCGGGTGCGGTGGCTCACACTTGTGATTCCAGCACTTTGGGAAGCCGAGGCAGGCAGATCATGAGGTCAGGAGTTCAAGACCAACCTGGCCAATATAGTAAAACCCCCATCTCTACTAAAAATACAAAAATTAGTCAGGTGTGGTGGCGGGCACCTGTAATCTCCGTTACTCAGGAGGCTGAGGCAGGAGAATTGTTTGAACCTGGGAGGCGTAGGTTGCAGTGAGCCGAGATCACGCCATTGTACTCTAGCCCAGGCAACAGAGTGAGACTCCATCTCAAAAAAAAAAAAAAAAAAAAAAAAGGAAATCAGATCATATCACTTTAAATCTTTTAAAGGCTTCATACTGGATAAGCCCAAATCCCTACATACAGTTGCCAAGGCTCTTCCCAGTCTGGATCCTGCCCACTGCTCCAGTCCCAATACTCACCATAGTCCTTCAGCCCCTACCTCCTTGATGCCACGCTCTAAGTATATTAGAGTTACTACAGCTATAAAAAGACCCCATCAGAAAGCAAGTTCCCTCTTCCTCACTCTGCTTTATTAGGCTAACTCCTACTCATCCTGTGCCAGGGGTCAGCAAACTTTTTCTGTAAAGGGCCACAGAGTAAATACCCTGGGCTTTGCAATCATACAGTCTCTTGCAACTGTTCAACTTTGCCGCTATAGTGCAAAAGCAGCTGGGAGTGTGGCTACATTCCAGTGAAATATTATTTATAGACACTGAAATTTGAATATGATACAATTTTCACATATCACAAAACATTATTCTCTTGAATCTTTTCAAACATTTAAATATGCATAAAATCATTCTTAGCTCATGAGCTGTACCAAAGCAGATGGCAGTGCAATTATACAATTCAATATTAAATGTACAATGTACATGAATCCCTATGTGCCTATATGTTTTTCTTTTTTTTGTTGTTGTTGTTGTTGTTTTTTAAGACAGGGTCTTGCTCTGTTGCCCAGGCTAGAGTGTAGTGGCTCAAGCTTGGCTCACTGCAACCTCTGCCTCCCAGGTTCAAACAATTCTCCAGCCTCAGCCTCCTGAGCAGGTGGGATTACAGATGCACATCACCACACCCAGGTAATTTTGTATTTTTAGTAGAGATGGGTTTCACCATGTTGGCCAGGCTGGTCTCAAACTCCTGACCTCAGGTGATCCACCCACCTTGGCCTCCCAGTGCTGGGATTACAGGCGTGAGCCACCCCGCCTGGCACCTGTGTGCCTTATATGTTTAAATACATAACATCCAAGTTCAAGTCTGTAGCATTTTGGAAAGATTACCTCAAACATTCCAAAATGTTTGAGGTAATCTTTCCAAAATCTCCAAAATATAACAAAAATAAGAAAGGAGAACTAGAATAGGTTGTGTCTAGAATTCTACTACACCATAGTTAACTTAATAATTATTTCTGGAAATGAAATCCACAGCTGTATTCTACCTCTCTTGCTTTACTCTCACTGAGCTATAATAAAGCTTAGAGAGCTAAGGTATTTGAGTTAGTAATGGTGTACCGGGACACCCGTTAGAATGACTGAAATTAAAAAAAAAAAAAAAAAAAAAAAAAGAAAAGAAAACCATCTGACAATTCCAATTGCTGACAAGGATGCAGAGGAGCAGTGACTCTCATTCACTGACAGTAGGCATGGAAAACCATTCAGCCACTTTGGAAGACAGTTTGGCAGTTTCTTTCAAAGTTAAACAGTCTTACCATATGATCTAGCCATCACACTCCTAGGTATTTACTGATTTGAAAATCTGCTGGGCACATAGCTTATGCCATGTGGACAATAGTCCCAGTTATTTGGAAGGCTGAGGCAGGAGGACTGCTTGAGCCCAGGAGTTTCAGATCAGTCTGGACAATAGAAACCCCCATCTCTTAGAAAATAATAAAATAAATAAAATATGTGATGGCACATGTCCACAGTCCTAGCTACTCTGGAGGCTGAGGAGGAAAGATTACATGAGCCCAGGAGTTCAAGGCTGCAGTGAGCTGTGATCCTGTCACTACACTCCAGCCTGGGTGACAGAGGGAGACCCCACCTCTAAAAAAAAAAAGACAAGAAAAATAATTTTTGTACACATAAAACCCTGAACAGAAATGTTTATAGCAGCATTATTTATAATCACCAAAAACTGGAAGCAACCAAGATGTATTGCAATAGATGAATGGACAAACTATGAAACAGCCATATAATAAAGTACTCAGCAATAAAAAGGAATGAGTTATCAAGCCATGAAAACACATGAATGAATCTCAAATGCATATTGCCAAGTGAAAGAAGCCCGTCTGAAAAGGCTGTATATTATATGATTCCAATTACACAACATTCTGGATAAGACAAAACTATAGGGATGGTAAACACATCAATGGTTGCCAGGGGGTTTGGGGGTGAGGGTCAGGTCAAATTGATGAAGGACAGGGGACTTTTTGGGACAGCAAAACTATTCTCTTTTTTTTTTTTTTTTCTTTTTTTTTGAGACGGAGTTTCGCTCTTGTTACCCGGGCTGGAGTGCAATGGCGCGATCTCGGCTCACCGCAACCTCTGCCTCCTGGGTTCAGGCAATTCTCCTGCCTCAGCCTCCTGAGTAGCTGGGATTACAGGCACGCACCACTATGCCCAGCTAATGTTTTGTAGTTTTTTAGTAGAGACGGGGTTTCACCATGTTGACCAGGATGGTCTCGATCTCTTGACCTCGTGATCCACCCGCCTCGGCCTCCCAAAGTGCTGGGATTACAAGCGTGAGCCACCGCGCCTGGCCTAGCAAAACTATTCTCAAAGAAACTGTAATGCATCTCAGTCATGGCACCAAAAAAAAAAAAAACAA